GGGAAAACGACTGATTAGATCTGGGAGCCTAACCCTAGCATTGCCCTATATAAAAGTTAATAAAATACAATTTGAATAACTCCAATAAATAAATATAAGCAGAAACACACACCTTCTGCATCCTCCTCCCCCAGAGTTCCATTCCATCAACAGGAGTCCCTGTGTAGTGTGGGATTTACCTGTCTCCGTGACCGCACAGCACACTCTTCCAAAGTTTCTGCAGCTTCCAGTTTGCCTTGACGCCTGTATAATGCCCCCAGGTTCCGCAGGGTAGTGTTCACAGTGGGGCTGAGAGATGCAGAAAGAAAGCACAGAACTGAAGTTACTGTATCCTAGCAGTCCTCTGCCTACCCTTGTAATACTCTGAACATCTGAGTCCCTTTGTCTGCAGCTCTAGCCTCCTGTCACACTAGGGCAACTTAGTCCAGCTACTGCTAACATACAGAATGATCCTCAAATGGGATAAGATGTTCCATAAGGAAGCTGTACTTGCCCCTTGCTATGACGGCCTTGTTCCCTAGCATTTGTTTGTTTTATTTGTATCCTGCCCTCCCCGCTGAGGCAGGCTCAGGGCAGCTTACAGGAGATATGTATATATATGTGTGTACATACATACACACATACATACATATATATATATACATACATACATATATATTTATATACATACATACATACATACATATATATTTATATACATACATACATATATATACATACATACACACGCGCTAGGAATAAGGCCTGTTGTGGCTCTAGAAAGAGAAGAAGAAGAGATTGGATTTATACCCCGCCCTTCACTTGGAGTCTCAGAGTGGCTTACAAACTCCTTTCCCTTCCCCTCCCCACAACAGACACCCTGTGAGGTGGGTGGGGCTGAGAGAACTCTGACACAAACTGCTCTTTTTCAAGCACAGCTGTGCCAGAGCTTGTGACTGACCCAAGGTCACATCAGCAGGTGCAAGTGGAGGAGTGGGGAATCAAGCCCGGTTCTCCCAGATTAGAGTCCGCACACTTAACCACTACACCAAACTGGCTCTCACACCAAATTGGCTCTCATGCTCTGGGAGAGGCTCTGGGAGAGTGTGAAGGCCTTGGACACTCAGTGTCAATTTGCTGTGGTGACCTCAGCAGGGTGCAATGACACATTTGGCCCTTGTTCAATATGTGCCACGCAGCAATAGCTGTGGTGGCGTTAGCAGAAGCAGGAATCAGACTGGACCTTTTGGTGCACTGCTTCCATCTGCTCTCCACGTCTCTTGCCTCTGTTCTGCCTTTCACCTTGCACTTTCACCTCCACTGCTCTCCTCTGTTTTGGCCCCACCCACGCATTTAAGATCATCTTCAGAAATTTGTTTCCTTTGTGTTCAAACATGGATCTTCAAAGGAAAAATAAAGGGTTACAGAAGGTAAAGGGGGCTGGGACCCTTTGGGACATTTCAGATCTTACCTGCTAACCTTACAGGCCTTGTACCAGCCACCATACTCTGCATAAGGGGTGTTGTCTCTGTGCTTGCCCTGGAGAAGAAGAGGAGAAAGAGAAGATCTGTTAGGACAACCAAACCATCAGCACTTTGCAGGCCACAGTCAGAATGTGCCTTTCTAACTGAACACTAGCATGTAACAGAGATGTAGATCTGTTACCTTGCAGCCCTTTGTTAAAATATTTCTATTCCAAAATTTTCCAAAATATGCTCAATTGCAGCTTATGAAGTAACCAATATACATATTACAATATTAAACCAAAAAACAGCATTAAAATTACCAAAACAAGAACACCACTCAATGAAAACAAGACGACTAGTTACAGGACAGCTAAATCAGAATGAAATTAGGAAATCAGCCAAAGACACTAGAGAACTGATTGGCATTTGCCTGGCGCTTGAATGTTAACAAAGTGCTAGGTGGGTCTTTCTAGGCTGGGAATTTCAGAATCAGGCCACAACCACCACTACCCTATCTGTAGTCATCACCCACCTCATCTCCAATGACAAGGAGACCTAAAGAAAGACCCCTAAGAAAGTCAGCAGGTCCACATGGGAATAGGTGGTCTTTCTGATACTCTAGCCCCAACTGTTCAAAGTTTTACAAGATAAAACCAAGTCTTTTAATTCCACTCAAGAACAAAGCCAGGAGCCAATGAAGAGCTTCCAGTAATTTCCCAAAGGCAGCCCCCTAAGCAATACATCAGATGACTGTAAACTTGACATGACCAGAGCATGTATAACTGTGCCAAGGTCATTCCTTTCCAAGAAAGGTTGCAGCTGGTTCACCATAAAAGTGGTTAGAGCCCAAAATAAAGCTGGTTCTAAAAGCATCCCCAACCAGCATATCTGATTCTTCAAGGGGAGTGTAACACTGTCAGCCCAGGCAGAAACCCATCTCCATGGCCTAGTAATCCCTCCCACCAATAGCTCCTCTGTTTTGTCCAGACTGATCTTCAGTTAGCCCTGGACTAGCCCATTAATGACTCCAAACACCTGTTCTGCACAGGTACTTACTGCACTCTTTGATTAGTACTAGGATGATTAACACAGGGGCATGCACTGAGGTTAGCTGGCATCTCCAGGCCAGGGGATGGACAGAAGATCTATTTAAGTCAATGTTTGTAATTCTTAGGCAAGGAAGAAAGCAGTCTCACTGGAAAAGGACATCCAGGTTATCATGGCACCCCAAGGCAAAGCCTGGAAACGACTCCCCAGAAAGCAGGAGAGTGGGGTCAGACTGAAAAGTTTCCCAGTGAAGATACCCATCAGCTTGGAACTGACACAGAAAAGGTCTTGATTCTCACCTGGGGAGGACCTACAGGGCAAGTTCTACCCCTGCCCTCCCAAACACATCCACACACACCAAGCACAGAAAAAGGCAAAAAATTCAGGAGAGTGATATACTGATTTTTGGGAAATTAATTTGCACCCAGGATGATTAAGAAGGCAGAGCTGCTAAGCCCCAAGTTTACAAAGAACAGTCAGCACATTTATGTATTGCAGGCTTACATATCAACAGCACAGTAACTGAAGAATAGGCCCTCTGCTCACATTAGGGTTTGGGCTTAGAAAAAACAAACTGCAAAATGCATAAATGGAGGATTGTCCATGTTTCAGCATACGAAAATGGATAATGAGTGCATATCTCGTTCAGATACAGAAGCTGCTAGAGTCTGTGCTGACATTTTGGAACTCCAGGGCCTGAGGGTGAACCAGACACACGCATAAAACACATTTGCAAATGAGCGTGGGCAAAAACATGAACATCCCATGCCTACAAAATGCAGTGCACAGAGAGACTGTACAAAAAGTTTGATTGTTGAATTGGAGATTAATCATTAATAGGGTCTAAAATCCTCAGGGAAACAAATGATTAAGCTTCTCAGCACAAGTGTTTATGGGCTGAAACAAGACTAGCAAGTGAAAGTCAAGCTCCGGCATTTTATCCTGTGCATGCCACCCCTGCCGCCCCATTCCTGAAGCTTCCTGAAACAGATTCCTCTTTAGCAACAGCTTCCCCTTGGAATTGTGCCCAATTGCTGGCAGGTTATTGTTCCCTCAATATTCTCTGGGGCAGTCGGCCAACATACAGGACTCTGATTTGGTCATTAGTTCCCTAGGCTTCAAATATCTTCCTGATTAAAATTCTTTCATAGGTGTTCCTCCGCCAGTCAGTTGCCTTACAGTTCTGAAGTCTGGGGGAAATCTAAGTTGGTAAAGACCCAAGAGAAATACTGAATGAACTGAAATATATTAATGCCTACAACGTATTACTAAAAAGGTGGAAGAGACAAGCAAACCCAAGGCTGCAAAACTGTGTTGGAAGACCAAGGGGACCTGGGTTGTTAATCGAGAATGGATTCATTCATTCAAATGGAAATGGCTTCATTTATTGGGACAAAACAGGCTGCCCAGATGCCAAATGGCTGATCAGAGTGGAGGTTTTAAACATGCTATATTTTATATCTGTGGTTATGTGTATTTCAGTTATTGTCACCTTCCCTGGGATTTTGATTTGGACAAGAAATCCAGCTTCTGCCCAGTATAAGATACTCAAGTTTCAGTCCAGGTTCAACACAGCCACCAAAGACATTCTGCACAATCACAGTAGGAATACAGTAACCTAGTGGAACACTAGATGGTCAAGTGCTAGTGTAGCCAAAGAGTACCTTCAGGCCTCTTATAAAGCCCATAGCTTTGTCACAAAACTCTGCTTGGTCTCACACATATGAAATTTATTACATATGTACCTTGCCTTTCCTCCATAGAGCTCAGGGAAGCACACAGGACTCTCACTTCCCCTGTTTCTCATAAATATGAAGCTACCTTACATATTGGCTCGGTGGTATGGCTCATCCCCTTATCCAGTTGAACCACTGCACTTTAAAGGATGGCTACTGCCTTAAGTCTGTGCAAAGGACACACAGATCCAACTAACAGGTAAGCGTAAACCTTCCAGGGTATTTCCAAGCCAGAATGATGAAAAGGGATTGACACACAAGGCATTCTTTAAACTGGGCACTGTCAAGGTTTGCAGTTAAGCAGGGGTTCAGGTTTACTTAGTGCTCCATTCACTCTACAATTCCTCTCATAAATCAGGAAGGCCTCCAATAACCACATGTTCCTAGTCTAGCTGCAAGCTGAGCTCGAAGAAAAATTATTCATAAACTGCAGGCTTATCTATATTTATCTGGGAATAAATGCTATTGATTTCAGTGGTTTACTCTCAACAGTTCAGGTAAAGGATTGTTTATGGTACGTCATGCCTTAGAGAGGTATTTTTGTTTGCGTTGCTTCCCTAATTTCTGCAATTCTAGTCCTATTGCATTGTTAATGGATGTCTTGTGCTGTCTGACTGAATTGTTTTTTCTGTATTTTGTAATCCACCATGAGGCTCAGTGAAAAAGGCAGGCTATAAATGAAGTAAATAGGACTGTAAGTCAAGAACCTAAATCTTCTCTCCCCTTGTAGGACAGTTCTGCGGCGGACGTTGTGCTATAACCTTAGAAAAGAAGAGTAAATTTTATACCTCACTTTTCCCTGCCCTAAGGAGTCTCAAAGCAGCTTACAATTTCCTTCCTCCTCTCCCCACAGCAGGCCTTTTGTGAGGTAGGCGAGGCTGAGAGAGTTTGGAGAGAACTGTGACTGGCTCAAGGTCACCCAGCAGGCTTCAGGTGGAGGAGTGGGGCATCAAACTTGGTTCTCCAGATTAGAGTCCGCTGCTCATAACCATTACACCATGCTGCTTCTCAGAGAGATCTGGTACTTAGATGCTTTTGGATGATAGGCACCATCTTTCAGTCCTGCAGAATTCTGTTCCTGTGGGTTACTCACCAATTTTGAGCTCCCAAAGTTTCTATTCAGCAGAACCTAATGGAGCAATCCACCTCTTCTTCTCATCCCTTCAGTTCTGATGACAAGGGGGATGTCAGCCATCATATCTTGTTTATTCCCCTCACCTGCCACTATCCAGCATCCACCACAAACCATGAACATCTTACACAATTCCAAGCCCATTCATAGGAAGGTGACTAAATGTCAACTCACTGACTCTTTCTGAAGCCACACTGTACAAATAATATGCTGAGAAAAACAAAAAGCAGCTCTTTAGCAAGGTGGGTTTTATGCCTTTTAATAGCACAAGACAGAAATGAGAAGCCAAGCATGCCAGTCGATGACAACATGGTAAGGAATGGAAGCCTGGCCTCTGGAATCAGAACACATTACAAGTCAGGGGAGAAGCTCCTTATTCCAGCAATGTATGACCTCATTCTTCTCCATTCATTGAAAAAGTCCCTGTTTTGTCATTCTGGAAAGCTCTGTCTAACTTCTGCATTTAAAAAGCTGATAAAGCTTATCAGTAAAGAACATGTTCCCCATTCATAGTTCCAGTGAACCCTTAACTCATCTGGCAGCTTTAGGCAACTGTTTCTTCACCTCTGATAAAGCAATAATGTTACTGATCTAACCCAAAAGGGTTTGTATTAATTCCTGCAATGGTATATGCAACTCTGAGCTCTTAATGTGCCTGTAGCTTTCCCCCCAAGTATTATCCAGCAGGAGGCCTTGAGCAATCAAAACGAAGGCTTGCAATGGATACACCAACTAGCTATAACTTTCCCCACAACTGTAGAACTTTGAAAGTTCATCGGCATATGGCGGGACAAGAGACAATTTCAGCCTCAAGCGCAGGTTGGACTTTGGTGATGGACTTAAATCTTGAAGCAGCTGAAGTAAAGAGGAGAACTAATGGCAGATGGGGAAGGATCCACGTCTTATGCTCCACGGTCTTCCAGTCTCTCTTCCCAGTGTCCATGGGTGCAGAGTCATTAGCAAGATAAGGCAGGCACTAGCCAGCAAAAAAAGATACTTCCGCTAGTAGACACTTGAAGGAAAATGGTGGGAGCAAGTTGTTGTGGTCTCACGTTCAGGAATAAAAGCTCTTCCCAGTGGCTTCCTAGATGCTCATTTCCAGAATCCAGCTCAGGCATTATGCAAAGTTTAAAGGTTCAGTAGCATGTATGAAAGAGGTGCTGAGGGAACACCTTGCAGGGTCCCCCCCCCCCCAACAACATGAGAAGAAATGAGGCCAGTGGGGGAAAAACTTGATAGAAACAAAAATATCCAAGATGATCAAGCTGAAGAACGCTGATGCCTTGCAGTGAAACCCCCCAAACAGTACTAGACCTCAGAAGGGAAGGCACCCACTCATTAAAAGCACTAGCATAAGGAATCTAGTCTAGGGAGCAGCCAATTTCAGCTCAAGGATATATAGAAAAACTCTCATTCAAGCCAAGTGGTAACCAGCTGGCTCCTTGCAGCCCATGGTCTAGGTGGGGAGCAAGAATCAGTGCTCAGTAGCGTGGTGGTCACATACAGGGGAGCACTGCTCCCATTTTGTATTCTGTATCAATGCCAAATTATTTCCTGACTGCAGAGTTGGATCCTTCTATTCACCAGCTCCAAGGCAGCAGACAGAAACATCCAGAACATCCAGCAAGAGATTCTATGTGCTGCCCAGAAGGGCATGAATGAAAGCAGGCTTGCTGGCTCACCCTAAACATCATCAGCTCCACCTGACACACACTCCTAAACCATCTGTCCCGCGGGAGGCAATTTAGAGAGCCTGGCCACGATCCAATAAAGAAGGAACTGTCAGCCTGCAGTTTTAAGATACAATGTGGTCCATGTTACATGTCTGGGAAGCAGAGCTACTCATCAAACATGTGTCAGACATTAGATCAGATTTCTAAAAATGGCATTGAGATGGAAGGAGTAAATTGCTTCTGCCAGAGGAAGTCTTTATATGCCCTATCTGTGAACCACTCTGCAAGAGGGAACATCAGTGTCCATCAGCTCAGCTCAAAGGCACATCAAGTTCCTGCCCTATACCTTGCATTGTAGGTTTCCCAAAAAGCCAGGGACCATTGTTCACTGTGCTAGAGGCAGGAGGTAGTGAATTATGGAATTCACTACCACAGGAAGTGGTGGCGGCTACAAGCATGGACGGCTTCAAAAGGGAATTAGATAAGCATATGGAGCAGAGATTCATCAGTGGCTATTAGCCACAAGGTATAGATAGGGGCTCTGGGGCAAGTGATGCTCTGTCTTCTTGGTGCTTGGGGGGGGGGGTCAACAGTGGGAGGGCTTCTAATGTCCTGGCCCCACCGGTGGACCTCCTGATGGCACTGGTATTTCTGGCCACTGTGTGATATAGAGTGTTGGACGGGATGGGCCTTTGGCCTGATCCAACATTGGCGTCTCTTATGTTCTTATGAGCCCTTCTCCTAAGGGCCTTCTGCTTTTTGAAGCTCTAACAGAGGAACTTTGCTCATTTCCTGGTCTCTTCCCAGTGTAGGGGGGGTGTCGTCTAATAATTGGCGTTCCTAGAATTGGCAGGCCTGAAGCAGGAGGTGCTCAGGGAAGGGGTGATGGTGCAGAAGGCTGAAGCTTCTTCCCATTCTGTTGCCTAACCCTGATTTACCAAATGGACTTCCAAATGAGCAAACAGAGAGGCTTGGCATTTTTTCAAAAGTCTCCCTGATTCTGGAAATGTCTGTGGCTCAGACACCTGCTGCGATTCCTCCATCTTCCACTGTCCAGTACGTCCTAAGGAGTACACTATAAGCAAAGAGAAAACATGCAGGCACTGGAAAAACACACCAACTCCCTCCAGAGAAAACCACTCCAGAATGTGATTCTTACACCCACCCACCCTTGGTGAACAGCTGCTCTCTCCACCCCTTCGCAAAAGGCTGCTGCTTTAACTATCCAGGGCTCCTCTGCAAGTGCCAGCAGACAGATGCCATATCCTCAGACACCCTACGGCAAAGAGAGGATGCTGCCGTTTCCCCGGTATAGTATATGTGACCTTCATCAGCTCAAGCATAGGGCAGATCCTTGCCAGGTAACAGTACCCTTTGGAACTCACCTTGCTCATCTCTTCTCTTTCTTCCGCATGCATCCATATAGGCTTGTGTTCATCTGCAGGCAAAAAAGACCAAGAGGAGGAAAAAAGACACACTGATAATTCCAGAGGAACAATTTCTCTATGCTACATGCAGTGATTACTGTAAAGGATGCCAATCTGTTAACTGTCAGGTAATTTATTTAAGTAGGCCATGAAGAAAGTAGGCAGTACTTGTGCTGTGGACAACATGTGGCTTTTTTTCCTGTTTGGAGTGGCACAGAAATCAGACCAAACAGCCACCGTGCGACCTGATGGCTTTCTACACTAACGGAAGGAGACTGAGGAGTGAGATAAAATTCCCCATGTTCTCAGGGTTCTGAAATTCAGACTTCCCTTTAGCCAGGTGCCATATATTCCCCTCCCTCTTTGCTCTTCCCCCCCCCCCTGCATACCATCCACAGAGCCAAATTCCTTCACATGGGCTCGGGTGAGAATCTCTTTGTAGAGGACCTCTGCATCCTTGTATTTGCCTTGTTTCAGATAGCAGGAAGCCTGACACAGGGAGAGTGGAAAAAGCATCTTAAAATGTAGCACTGACTATGCCTTCACCACCAATCCCGAGAGACACGTTGCTATTTCCCCAAGAGACCTCCGTAAGACCCCGCTACCACCCACGGGACCTACCAGGTTGTTCTTTGTTTTGGCAACATTTGGATCATCGGGACCCAGGCGAGACTCGTAGATTTCCAGTGCCCGGCGATAGTAATATTCCACTTCTTCATATTTGCCCTGATTCTGGCACAGTAGTGCCAGGTTATTCAACTGCTTGGCCACATCTGGGTGATCTTTGCCTAGAACCTGAAGAAGCCGCAAAAGACAGAGAAAACCATCTACAAAAAAAGAATAGACTACAGCTGAATTTTCCCTTATTGGTGGGGAGAAGTGACGTGGGGATGTCATCAGAACTCAGATATACACCCTCCTCCCTCTGCATGAATTCTGCATCAGCCTCTCCACAGGTGTTCCCCTGTATTCAGGAAGTAGGTGACTGGTGAAGATTAACAGTGCTAGGAGGTGCCACAGAGGCCTGCTCCTAAGTGCCCCAGGGCCTTGGCCCTTCCTCCTCCAAGATACCTTTTCACGGATCTCCAGCGCTCGCTTGCATAATGGTTCTGCCTCCTTGTATTTCCCCCTCTTGCCATAGAGAACAGCAAGGTTGTTCAGGGTTGCTGCCACCTGCAGAATATAAGCACTCCTATATTAGAGCCAAGGAAGAGCAAGGGGGAGCTGAAAAGAAACCGGGATAGGCGGGATAGGTCGAGTATCTCAGCAATGTTCATTGAAACCCCGTCACATTGCAACCTCTGCTAGGGAAAGCACCCAAAGCGTTTCAATGTGTAGCCCTGTTGGTCTGCAGGAGAACAGCTAGATTCCACTCCAGTGGCACCTCAGAGACCAACAAGATTTTGAAGGGTATGAGCTTTCGAGAATCAAAGCTCATACCCCCCAAAATCTTATTTGGTCTCTACGGTGCGACTGGAGTGGAATCCAGTTGGACCAAAGAGTTTGTTTGCAGACGCACCACAGCACACAGTCCAATATCAGCTATGCAATGTATAGGACGGCAGTACTAGATACATTATAGGAACATTTATAAAATATATCAAGAATACGAATGGGTGCATAACAAAAGGACTCGCCCTTTGATTATGTCACTCCACGAGATGCCATGTCACAACTACCACCACCACATCCTGCTTGGGCTTCCTGTGAGGGAGGGCTGTAGGGAGATATCTACTTATTTACTTTATTTATAGTCCGCCTTTCTCCCGAGGACTCAAGGCAGATTTCACAGAATAGGTTAATACCATCAACAGGATGGGACATCCAATAGACAATACAATGGAATCTGACTTATAGAAATCTGGAACAAACCAGAAATCAGAAACAATGGCAAAGCGTAAGTATTAACATGACACATTAAACAATACGAAAATTACACAGGCATCTACTTACAGCTAGAGATAGTATGATCTATACACAGCGGTATAGTCTACAGTCCCTAACCTTTTAGGGCCCTTATCCAATTCACTCTGTCACAGGGAGATCTTAAAGAAACCCTTCACTCTTCCTTTTCCCTGTGCGTTTTGCTTAACATTTCCCTCCTAGAAGTCTTACCTTTTTTACTTCACAGCTGTGCAGCAGGAGAGTCTCAAAATAAGAACCTGTTTATTTCACCGCGTCTCCCTCCTTGCCTGACTCAAAGCCAAGCAGCCAGAGCTGAAACTCCTTCCTGTCCTGACAAGCAGTTTTACTCTTTTTACTGTCTTTCCCCCCAGCCATTACCCACAACGATGCTTCCGTAGGTCAACTGACAGGGTCATGTGACTCTCTTTTAGATCAGTTGACCCCGGCTATTGTATTGTATGATTGTGTAATAGGTCTGCTACCCACTCGACTGCTTCATGATCCCCACCTGCTCAAAAGGAGAACTGATACTTACTGCAGGGTGATCCTTCCCAAGCGTCTTCTCCCGAATCGACAGCGCATCATTCAGCAGGTGAGCTGCTTCTTTGTATTTGTTCTGATCCCTGCAGCATAAAATAAGGCACAGATAGTATGCAATACTAGAATGGCAGAGATTCAAACTACACATGGAACCGAGAGAGAGAGAGAGAGAGAGAGAGAGAGAGAGAGAGAGAGAGAGCAAATACTGCACCTCATGTCTTCCCTACAACTCTCCAGAACAGAGTTCAGCATGCTGGGCTCTCTCCATACAACCCCCTTCCCCTTCCACTTCCCTGCTCAAAATGAGACCTTTATCTTTGCCCAATGAGAAAAACCAAAGCAGCTTGGTTTCCACACCCTTCATGTGAAGTATCGGCCACCCCATGAAGCAGCAAGGGCCCTGCTCTCACCTATATACTAAAGCCAAAATATTCAGCATTGTGGCCACATCAGGGTGATCATGGCCTGAAGTCTTCTCCAGGTCTTCTAGAGCCTGCTTGCAAAGAGGCACAGCTACCTCATAGCGCCCTTGTGAAGCATACTGGATCACCAAGTTATGGAGCGTTCGCAGGCGTGCCGGGATCTCGTAGCCACCTTGCTGGGCAGCCGCTGCCGCGCTGCTGTGTTGATGCGGCACTGCAAAGATAGCTCACGTTATGAAGGGAAAGAAGAGGGAGCTCGCAATTCCATGCTGCGGCTCCCTCATATAGAATGAGCTTGGGGGGGTGGGGATTGCTTCTCCCTACTTCAAACCAGCTAGAGTGCTTTTTGAAAACAGTGCTCAGCTAGAGAAGGTGACCCAGGCAGGCCTTATACCTCCATCCTCCCCACCATCCAAGTTCCCAAGGGAAGGAATGCAACCTACAGCCTTGGCCCTGATCTTCTTCTTCATTTGGAAACAAATCATCCAGGGAGTCCTTTGTCGAGTCACCTTCCTTCTCCTCCTAACCCACAGATGGAAAGACAACAACTATTCAAAACATTTAAAAAGCAGCACAAATTATTGACGTTTATTTAGGCATGGAGAGTTCTGACCCCCCCCCCCCAACAAGGCCATTCAGTGCCCTCCTCAGCGACAAGGTAACCACCAGCTCAGCTACAGACGTGGGCTGCACCCACTGTAGCTGGAGTGATCCGTACCATCCAGCCCTGCATTAGACAAGCTCAAATGGGTGGAGCGCTCTTAGAAAGCTCACTGCCACTAGCGTTTCTTAGGTGGAGCAAGGCACAGACATAGGCAACCCTGAGTCTGGATCCTCACCGACGGGGACACATCTTCATCATATTTCTTCAGCTGGTTCATGAATTCCAGGTGCTTCTTTTCTTCCTCGAGCTGCGCCACTGTCTGTTCACTGCGCTGCAGCTTCTGCTGGGTGTTAGCCAGCTCGTCCCGCAGCCACTGGTTCTCCTGGCACAGCCTCCGCACTTGAGCCCGCAGCTTCTGCTTCTCTGACTCCACTGCATTCAGGTGGTTTGACAGAGCCATCATCACCTAACCCAAGAGAAGCAATGAGAGCTTGATCACTATGCTTGGGGCCCTCAGATCCTATCTGAGAGGCAGTTTCTTTGCCACTGAGTGCAGGAAGCTCCACCCCAGCCAGACTGAAGTCCTCCCGTACCAGTTAGGAAACTAGCACAAGGAATTCTGGGGCCTACCAGAATTATATGAAGTCAGAGTGGACAGTACCTAAGGAACTGTCTATTCCAATACCCTGTTTCAAGCGAGAAGACAAGATGCTAGAGTTCAGCAAAGTGGCCCAAACCTACCTCCCCAGACTTGAGCTACCTCATGAATTCACCTCTTTCCTTGCCAAGGGGAAATAGGGCTATGACTCCTCAAGGCCTCTGAAGAAGAGGGAAGTGGGTCAGGGCAGGAGGCACTAAAATCAGTTTAGTGTGGAACTGTCACATTTAGGTAAGATATGGACTGGAAATGTGCCCAAGAGATGACAAAGGGCTCTGAACCACCCTACAATTTTGCACGCCATGTCTCCTTCTAGTCACCTCGGACCAGAAAGCTGGGAGGGGCAGGGGCAGATGAGGAGAAGAGATGAGAAAGCAACATTGATCAGGGTGTTCTTTTTCTTCACAGCCATGCCAAACAAACCTGCAGCTGCAATTACTTGCCCAGTAGGGTTGTATGCTCACAATCGTGTATGCACTGCTGAACATATTAAAATTCTGTACCAAGGTTACCCACTCAATGCATCTGGAAAAATTGATTATTCAAATTAAATCCATTTGCACACATCTGCTTATTCTGCATAATGCATTTCCCTTTTACAAATCATGGGGATGAACAGAGAGCTAATGCAAGGTATCAAAGCCCCATCCACCCAAGAAATTCTACAGAGCTCTTCTCTGTTTGCAGTGATTTTATCAGACATCGCATGTTTTCAAGCCTATCCTTGTAGTTATAAGAGCTAGAAACTTATCTACCTCTCAAAAAAAAAAGTGAAAGCAGTGATATACTAGGTGCTCTGGTCTAGGTTTGATACCAAAATCTGCAATTTTCTCTGTCCTTGTGCAGACTACAAGCAGCCCCACCTATACTGAAAGCAAGTGTGTTGGGTCTGCATGTTGAAGCTTCTTTTGAAAATGCCAGCAAGGGATACATTTCCACAGCCATCCTAGGCACTGTATTCCACTGCTTATTTATGAGTGTCCCATATTTGTTAAAAGGTACACCCCAAAGGACTGCAGCTCACCTGAGCTTCTCCAAGCCCCAGCTCAATCATTTCCACAGACTTGCGCAACAGGTTGGCTTTCTCGTGCACCAGGTTGGCTTCCTCATCCTTCTTCAGACACTTGATGGTTTCCAGCAGGCTGTGCAAGATCGAATTGTGTTCATTCTTTAGGGCCTCTAGCCCCTGCATCACGAGTTTGGTGTTGGAGATTATCTCCTCCTGGCTCAGTTTATCCATCTTCTCCTCCCTGGGGTATACCATTGTGGACATAGTCTTTCAGCTACAACCTCACCTAAGGCAGGACAGGGAAAGGGCAGAGTTACCAGAGTGCACAGTATCACTATTTACACAAGGAAGATCCCAAGAAATGACAACTATGGACCATCGGCTTCAGAAAACACAGAGGAGATCCCTTACCCCATTTCCTGGAGGAGAAAATTCCCACAATGCTCCAGGGAAACAGAAAGAGGTGATGTGTTAGGACACACAGCAGCAGCAGCAGCAGCAGCACACATAGGCAAAACACAGCTAAGTCAAAGCTGCCTTTCTCCCACCGCCCCCATGGCCTTGGGAACGAAGAAAGCCGATTTAGCTGTCATTTAAGAGCACGGGAGAAACTGAAGCGAGCACACCTCCTGCTTGGAGGTCACAGAGATCCAGCTAGGAATAGAGACACATAATTCCAGTATAGCCACAGAAAGGAAGCATCTACATTACTTTTTTTCTCTCTTCTATAGAAAACCTCTCTCTAGGCAACAAAAATGAAAATGCAACCTTGATGGTCAGATCCCAGGTCCAGCACCACACGTAAAAACAGGGATACCAGTTCCCTAAAACTAAGGGGAGTTTCTGGAACAAACCCAGACAAATGGAGAAAGTAAAGAGCCAAAGAATGGCTTAGTACTAGCAAACATGTTTTGTAGCAACATGAGCCTAACTTCCAAACCAAGACTCTTAAGACAACCCCATGCCAGAATTTGCACATGATAGAATACCTGGAATGTACTATATAATCCTATGCAATGCACATACAACAAGGATTAGGGTTTATGGAGCCTGCCAGACTGGCAAGAGGAGAGAAGAAACCACCACTTTATATATGCGCCTGAAGCTAAACTGGGAATCCAATTTCAGCTGCTTTGTTGCACTGGCTCAGTCTTTTTGAAGATGCACAACAGTAATACAGCTGCTTCACACTATTTTCCCACACACACTGCAGGCAGCTCTGCAAAATGCTCCCCAAAAGCCCCCTAGATCCACGGCTGGACCCAGATACACAGACTTCAGCAAGAGGTGCTTACCTCATAACAGCAGCCGAAGCAGTCTGCTCAGCGGCACCTTATGCTGCAGATACAAAGGCAAGTCAGGCAGCCTGGGCTCACGTGACCCCACTGGCAAAAGATCGAGCTATCACACTGGCCAGAGGAGCAGGGAACGGAGAAAGGGAAGGAGGAAGTTATCAGAAGAACTGCCTTTGTTCTCAGATAGCCCCACCTCTGTGTGTTCTGGGCTCTTTGCTAGGCAACCGCCGGCCTCCCCGTGTTTACCACAGCCAAGAGAAAGTCCCACTCAGAAATCCTCAATGAGAGTCTCTCAGCACTTCACTCCATTGGCCTCAAGGTGGCAACTCTGCTCCCCAAGGCCAAGGTGGAAGCCAGACAGTCTCCATACGGCTAGGCAGCAGCAGAACAGAACCATATGGTTAGGCAGCAGAAGAACAGAAATTAGACAAGGCAGCCCCGAGGGACAGAGGAGATAATATCTGGTTCCTTTCCATTTTCTCTTCAAAAGACAGAAGGGGAGAGAGATGATCTGGCTCCGTTGGAGGCTGGGAGGACAGCTTAAGTTATACCAGTAAAATGATCCAGGGGTACGAAATGGAATCATTGCAGAATGTGGGGGTGGGGGAAGAGAGAGGAAAACTCTTCATGAACTACTAGGCTGAGGAAACCTTGGAATCAGATCAGCCCCAATGCCCCTTATATTTTTACAAGTGGGGATTGCTTAATCTCAAAAATTAACCCTCCCAAATGACCTTCCTTATTTCATGGCACTGCAACAACACTGTAGGAAAGGAGAGTTTAAATATCTGAATAAATAAATAAATATAGCCACAGTCATATTGAAGAAGTCAACATGACTTTAAATGTAAGCATTGCTGCTTAAATTGGGTCACTGATAAAGGTCTTTTTCACTATAAAGGTAAAGGTTTCATAGCAATAAAACAAGCCCCCTGCATATTAGTTATGACTAATATCATGTGTGGTGTAGGGTTTTTGTTGTTGTTTTTTAAAGGTACCTCAAGTTTCCCCTCAGAAAGAGGGTCACAAGCAAGAATGGGTCATACAGCCAACAGGTATTATTTTAAAAAAGTAATAAAGTGAAATAATCAAATGAAATGAGCGCTTCTTAAAATGCTGCAAGATTCGACTTGTGCTGGTTTTCTTTGGGACAATGTTCCAGAACCATGGGCCACAACCAACGTGGTTCTGCTCTGTGCCATTTTCATTTCTTGGTCAGATGAAACCTACTACAGGGCCTCTTAATGCTGATAAAGAAAGAAGGAACCTAGGGAGAGGGCAAGAACGGAAGAGGCAAAGTGAGCAGACAAGAGCCACAGGGCAGGAGAAGGAAGATGTGCAAAAGAAGACAGGGTTAAAGCAAAGGAAGACAGAAGTAACAGTGCTACAGAACTGGTCAGTTTCAGCAGCAGTCTTACACAACAAAACCATAAGAAGAAGTACACACAGGGCCCCTGTAGAAAATGTCAGCTGCTCTTGGGCAAGCAGAACTGTAACTCAGCATACTTAACTGCCAATGCAAGACTCCCTTCACTGCTTCCAAACCCCAGAAATGTCTGGTACAGGCTTTGGTAATGGAGTTTCAGAACTCCCTCCCACCAAACAATTCAGAGCACACTTTCCACCCCACTCTTCGCCATGGGCACTCAAACAAGAGTACAGTCGTCGCCACCCTGTTCTGACCCACCTTGGAAGGGGAGTAATTAGGCACCGGGGAAGGTCCGGCCTTTACGGATGTCAGTGCTTTCAACCCGCGTTTCTGGACATCTGAACTTCCCTGTTGCAAACTGAAGCCAGCTGGGACATATGAACTGTCAGATCCATTTCTACCTCTCTCTTTTTTGAGTCTCTGGAGATATGCACATAAGCGCTGACCATACGCTGCACAGCAGTAATGTGGATGCTTAAGCATGGGACAAGCGCATGGGAAAGCTGCCTCAAGGTTGTACTGTCTGGTCAAACCTTCCCGCTACAACTTAAACCGGTGCAATTTGCGGCATGCCCAGACCATGGCAAGCTTGTCATCTGACCGCAGACTAAAAGCCTGAGGATACCAAGACTGAATGTAATTCCCTTAGCATACTCAGGTTTCTCTCTAGTGAAAAACTAGCAATTTCTACAAGAAATACTCCTGCATGGGTTCAAAAAGAAGTATTTAAGGCGGTGCCAAGTCCTGGTAGCCATCCTCCATTACTGCACCTTGGAGACTGAGGAAGGATTGGTAGGCAAATGGAGAAGCAGACTATGACTCCCTCCAAAGCTAAACCCCTTCTCCCAGGATCTCCTCCCTTTCCTTCCCAGTCACCATGACCACAGTATTCCATCATGTTATTTACGATCCAATGTATATATATATTTATAAAAATCCATGAAGAGGGCAAAGAAGAGCAAGAACATTTATAGATTTTTATTGCACACACAACATAAGTCGCAGCAGAAGGTTGCTTACAGTATTTAGCACCACCAAAGCACTCAGTTTGCAGGGGCCTATTCATAGAGCAGCCTCATGATCGTCAATGCTCACGCAAAGCGCAGCAGTCAAAGTTTTTCGGTAATCACCACACCACCCTGCTCCACTCTGCTGGCCAATAGTGTGCAGGAGGTAAAAGACTTCTGCTGATGGTATCATGCATTGCCAATGTATTTTAAAACATCTGCCTCAAAATATCGGCATAAGCCTATCATTTCTGGTGGCGGCAGCAGGCCTCAAGGCTTTTATCCTCAAGGACAGAGTAACGGAACCCTGCCTTAGGCTTAAACCTGTATGGCAGCTAACAGTGTCCAACAGAAGGCCCTTGGGGAGACAAAGGATTCCCCCTTTTTGTTCTGTTCAAAAGAAGACTTAAGAGAAATCCACCCAAACCACCAAAACATGCTGCACGCTTGAGGCACTAACAGCTACATTCCATATCACTTGTAGTCAGCGGAGGTACGGATAGTCCCCCTCCTGGAAAATGAGGAGCATTGGTTTGTCTGCTCCGGATGGCAAGTTGCAGGGACTAGGAAAAGTGAAAACTGAGTGTTTTGTTACCTAAAGAATTGGTTAATAAGAACAAAGGGTTGGGTCTCAACAGCATCACTGAGTGTGGCACATTCCCTTCCAAGAAGGGGGAAAAGATGCTCGCCCCACTGCCAGCAGTCAAGTAGATTTTCAGGCATAAATCAACAGGGTTGGCATCTACTCTGTCCCATTTACCCAGTATCAGTAAAACAAGATAAATGGGTCTTGCCAGCTCCAATCCTTAATCCTACTTAACCATTGGTAACCTTGGCCACTTCCTTCAAAATTTCTGCCTTCAAAAGAGGAAGAGTTCTTCTGGTTTCCAGAGTAGATTAGAAAGGTCATTCCCACAGAACAAAAGTAGGCGATAAAGCAAGAAATAAAGGACAATCTATTCACAGTTAAATAGCCCTGTAAGGGGGGCTGCACTCCAAGAGTCGAGGACGTCTGCTTTGATAACCAAATTCATGTTTAAAGTGCTCTATCACTAGGGGGAGAACTAGGTTATGATGACACCTATATACCAACATCTTCCAATTTCAGATGTGTTTGCCAAGTGTACTTAGGGACAGGAATTGAGTAGTACACAATCACTATGCCGCATTAAAATTCGTTCACAGCAAAACAATACTATGGGAGCAATCCTAAGCAGGTCTATTCAGAACAAAGTTCCATGTTATTCAGTGGGGCTTACTCCCAGGACAGTGGGGAGGGTGCATGGCTCAGTGGCAACACATCTAGTTTGCATGCAGAAGGTCCCAGGTTCAATCACCAGGTTCTCCAGTGAAAGAAGCTGTCACTACATGAGGTGAAAGACCTCTGTCTGAGACCCTGGAGAACTGTTGCTGACCTGAGTAGACAATACTGACTGTGATGGACCAATGGTGTGGTTCAGTGTAAGGAAGCTGGATGTGTGTCCTTAAGACTGCAGCCAACGACTTGCAGTCAGGCCTATGAAATGCTGTATCATATCCTGTTTGGATAAGCTCA